TCCCCCCCCCCCACCCCCTTTACCTCTTCTGTGGAGTCACTTTTGGGGCCTTTGAGAAGCAGCTGGCAAAGTTCTTTCCATGCCAACTATGCAGAGGGGAAAAGATCCAAGTGTGGATCGCCAGCTCTGAGGTCAGGTCCCCTCCTCCAACCTGGGGAATCTGGGAATCCAGTGATCCTAGGACCTATTAGACATTGTCCAGGGGCCAAAGGATTGCTCTCTCAATGGCCTATATGTTTTTCCTCATCCATCTCATGCTGCCATGTTCTTTCTTTGACATTTTTCAACTGCTCCACTCACCCCAAAAAAGTCATTACATTTTTTCATTCCTTTTCCATTTCTTTCCTTTTTCAGATAAGTTTGGTCCCAAGGTAAGTTTAACCCTTATTCCCACAGAGATGCAACAAATGAAGGGAAATCAGTACTGCTTCTCAGAACACTTGGTAAGTGGTCATATTGATATCTCCCTCCATTATGGGACAGCTCTTAGCATTAGCTTATCAGGTGTCTTATTGTATTCTTGTCATGGTCAGAATTAAAAGCTGAGTGTAATGCCAGACATCTTGCTTTTTTAATACCCACCCACAAAACTGAAAAGGTGAGAGTTTGACTTTTTGGAATGTACTTCTTAATTTTTTTTTATTTTTTGGTTAAGACAAACAGCAAAGAGCGTAAGATCATTTTCAATAAAGCATTAATTTCCAGCACTTGCACAGTATGGATGAACCATTAATCTTGTCAATAACGTGTAAACACAAGCAGATAGAGGTTTGGTCATTACCTGTCAAAAATTAGCTTAGTAAGTGCTGAAGGAGGTGATCCAAGTAGCAGACCTCCAAACTGATAGATTCATGCACTTGGGTTTAAAGCAAAGTTTTTGCAGACCCCTGTTGTGCTGCCAGAAATGTGAGGAGACAAACAGTCCAGTTTGTCCACAGGCTGGGCAAAAATTTCCAAGTGCAACAGACTGGAAGAAGGGTGGGAGGGCTTACCTCCCTTCACCTAAAGGCCTCCTTCTGACATTTGAGCAGTGCACTTTTATTAGTAACAAGGCCCAGCATGTGATTAAATAAACATGGCTACTGCCATGAAGGCAAGTTGGGGCTAAACCAGGGATGGGCACCTTCTGGCCCTCCAAATGTTTTGATCTACAATTCCTCTTGCCATTAGGCTGTGCTAGCTGCGACCAACGTATCTGGAGGGCCACAGATTCACTCCTGACAATTGACTTATGCACTTAAGTGCTGGGTTGGATCCAGACTTAGTCATACTTGGAGCAGATCCACTGAAATCAATGAAACCAATGTATGACTAACTTAACTCCAGTAAGAGCTCTTGCTGGGCACTTAAAGGATTTGGGCCCAATTAATGGGAGGTTTTCCCCTCAGCTTACTTGCCATTTGCAGGAAGGATATCTCCCTCCCCAGCAATGATCCCCCAGAAATCTTCCCATCTCTATCTGCATGGCAATTCAGAATAGGAAAACCTCCCCTGTGGCATCTATGGATTTCCCCCTTAATTTAATTGGGAGGAAGGGAGGAGGTTAACTTCTATCCCCAAATGCACTCTCCCTGGAAAATTACCTTCTACATGATGAGCTGCAAAAAATTCTTTCCACTGAAACTGGCCTTTAAGATTTTGCAAATGGATCTGGGGCAATGGGCACTTGCTTCAGGACCAGGGTCCTAAGTCTAGCAGTACACCTGAGTTCAGTGGTTTTTCTGAAAGTATGACTAGGTCTGGATTCAGCCTTCTGAATTCTGGAAACATAACCACCTGCCCAGTGATCTGGACCCAAAGTCAGCTCCATGTAATGAAGTTTCTTTTGATAAGCATCACAACTTCCCCTTAAGAGCAAAATGGAACCTCATTGCACATGGGTGAGGTGAGCTGAAAAATGCTAAACAGAGTATTAGAAATATCACCACATGTCCCAGCATGACGTTCTGTTCTGCTGATAAACACACTGTTATACCTTAGGAGTACCAAAAGCAATACTTTCTTTAGCAATGAGGGACAACTCATTGTAGCTGAAGACACAAGACTATCTGGGGTAGAAACTCAGTTCAGCTGCTATATATATATGGTTGACAGAAAAAAGGCAATAAAATGTGGAAGTGGGAAGAACAGAAATCTATCCATGGTGTTTAAAAGAGGGGTAAGCATGTGTTTCTCTATACCAGTAGTGAGCAACTTGTGGCCCTCCAGATGTGTCAGCCATCAAGCCTGCATAGCACAGTC